TCTCTCTCTCAAATAAATGGATGAATGTGAAGAAAATAAAATAAAATAAAGAAGCCATTTGGTTTTACTTTTGCCAGTACAGTTCCCTTGACATCTTAACTTGAACAACAAATACGGAGACTTTAGGGCAGCAGGAGGTCGGGGTTGATTAACAGCTCTAAGCTGCCTTCTCAGTGCACTCCTCTTGTCATGTGAAGCTGCACCTTCTCCTCTCCTCTCTAACCATCCTTTCAAAAGCACACTACAAAGAGCATCAGTTTACTTCGGGACATCTGACGGGCCGTGTGGGCGGCCTTTGGGTTTGACGCAGTGTGAGTTTGGAGGCCTTGACTTTGAGTGTATTGCTAACCCAGTGAGGAAGACGATGAGTGCCGGTGTGAGGGGCCTCGCTGTGAACCCCACCCTGTGCCTCTTCCTGGCTCTCTGACTTCGAGCAAGTCACCTAGTCTCCCTGAAGCTGCCGCAAGATGTTGAGGAGTGAAAAGCAAAGACTGGTCTGTGTACTGGATTTTTTTTTACACTGTGCCTTCATCCACTCGGGCTGCTATAACCAAATACCACAGACTGGGTGGCTTATAAACAATAGAAATTTATTTCTCACAGTTCTGGAGGCTGGAAGTGCAAGTTCGAGGTGCCAGCGTGGTCGGGTTCTGTGTCTGCTGAGAGCCAGCTTCCCAGCTCCTAAATAGCCATCTTCTTGCTCTGTCCTCACATGATGGGAGGGGCAGGGAACTCTGGGGGATCTCTTTTATAGGAGCACTGATCCCATTCACGGGGGCTTCTCCCTCACGACCTGATTACCTCCCAGAGGCCCCACCACTGAACACCATCACACTGGGAGTTAGGATCCCAGCATGTAACCAGTGGGAAGGAGGGTGGAGGAGGGAGCCTAAACATTCAGATCATAGCACATTGCATAATAACATATGTTTTTATTAGTACCACCTTGCATCGAGCGGTTATTGCTTTTCTACCATTTTATTTCAGATGTATAAATACTCACTTGGGCTCTTAATTAAAATTAAAAAAAGAAAAGACTGTTCTTTTGGCAGTCACAGATGTTACTATTTTCTTTATGAAATGGAATATATTGGTATTTTAGAAAATACCGAATCACTGACCACATCCTCTGAATTTGACCAAAGTTCTAGAGGGAATTTGAGCAAAGGGAGAACACTCCCAAAGAAATGAATTTTGCAGATGTAAAGGAAGAGGTTTCCTACTCTTTGAAGTTTTTATTAGATGAAGATTTATCATAGTTGAAAATTGGAAGTGGTGTGAATTCTGTGAAACATTTCTTGTCCTTATAAAAGCATACGGGCCCAACCTTGGCCGCTGTGAGCAGGGGCATGCCTACGGTATCAAGGGGCTTCTCTGCGCTTGATGAGCCAGTGCAGACTTGAGAATTGGGGGAGGTGGGTTTGAACCCTGGCAGCTCTGCCAGATCTTAGCTTGTCATCTTGGGCCACTTAGTTCATCTCTCTGAGGCTCAGGTGTTTCATTATAAAATCCGAGAAGGTTATGCTTATCCCATAAAGCTGTTGAGAGGATTCCAGGAGGTGACAAATGCAAAGCATGCAGCCAGACCCTGGCACCTAGTAGGTGCTTGATGCATCGAACTATTTTAATATACCCTTTATACCCTATAATTATGTAACAAATAATATATACTATATAAAATGTCTGTATAAGGTTATATTTGCACAATATAGAATAATCCTTTTGTATGATTATGTATTCTTATATAATAATATACAATATTATTAACATAATGTATACTTATATAATATAATAATATATAACTATTTTTATTTTATTTTAGTTTATTTATTTTTATTTTTTTTTATTTTATTTATGTGAGAGAGTGAGAATGAGAGAGAGAGAGTACATGAGACGGGGGAGGGTAGAGGGAGAAGCAGACTCCCCGCCGAGCAGGGAGCCCGATGTGGGACTCGATCCCGGGACTCCAGGATCATGACCCGAGCCGAAGGCAGTCACTTAACCAACCGAGCCACCCAGGCGCCCTATAACTATTTTTAAATAACAGTATTCTTGCAGTGCCTGGGTGGCTCAGTCGTTAAGCATCTGCCTTCGGCTCAGGTCATGATCCCAGGGTCCTGGGATCGAGCCCCGCATCGGGCTCCCTGCTCGGCGGGAAGCCTGCCTCTCCCTCTCCCACTCCCCCTGCTTGTGTTCCCTCTCTCGCTGTCTCTTTCTGTCAAATAAATAAGTAAAATCTTTAAAAAATATAAATAAATAACGGTATTCTCTCTGAAATACTAGGACTTCAAGATCATGTTCCCTAGTAGCTTTTCACACTTTTTTTAAACACTGGAATCTTTTCCCCTTTCCGTTCCTGCAAAGGACATCTGCGCATCTCAGACATCTCCTGTCTGAGATGGAGCAAAGAGGAGGTGCTTGCTGAAGCAGGGATGAGGGTCCCCAAGCCCAGACAGGCTCTCCCTTTAGCTGCTCCTGCTCCCCACACCGGGACACCCTCGGAACAGAGTGGAAACAGCTGTTCTAGGCCAATCTGCTTTCTCTTCGAGGTCTCAGAGCCACTTGGGTAGAGCTCAAAGTGCAGGTCCGCGGCCTTGACGTTGAACTGTCGTTCTCCGAGTTGCTCTGCAGTGTCTGTGGTGGGATGAATTACGGGGCTGCTGATCCCCCTCCCTGAGGGGACTTGGGGCCTAATCATAGAACCTGGTGCCTTGACAGGCTGCTGACTCAATCCCTGGGTTTACTGGTGGCCACACTTAGGCTTTATCGCTACTAAAAGCCATAGGGAAGTCACAACACTTAAGTATAAAGCTGGGGCTGACATGCGTAGCGGCTTGCATCACAGCCTTGACACTGGCTGTGTGTGTCTGTACTTCTATGGCTGTTTGATTAGCTTTGATTTTCAAGCAATTGAAAAAGTTTTGTTCTATGTAGTGGAGTTTCATTTCTCCATATGGCTGTCAGTGTCAGATGATGATTTATTTGCTGTACTTGTTGGAGCAGTAGACCTGGTTAGCAGAGGGGCTGATCATTGACTGTTAGAAATTCGATTTCTCTGGCCCCAGGTTTTTTGTCTGAGAATGATGTAACCCTTTTCTACTGACTTCATCAGCCTTTGTGGGTTGTTGGCTGTGACATTAAATGAGATGTATTGGAAAGCCTTTTATCAGAAGATGACTACAGGGAGACATTATTATGTAAATGAGTCTAAATTTTCTCTGCAAGAAAAGTTGGGCCACTTCTTTGGCTGATGTGCTATGAGATGGATGACCTTCTATTTCTGCCTTCCGTTAGAGACTCTTGGTTCTCTGTAAAACAGCTAAAAAGGGAAAACACGTGGCCCGGCCATGTTGGGATGTAGGGGTGTCACCCTGGAATGTGTGGGGACCCATGATGCGCCTGCATCCACTCCACGGGAGAGGACTCACCACCAGTTTTCATAAATATATCATTTGTAGCCGATGCAGTCACAGCGATGCTCTTGAGCCCTGAGGCCTGACTCCAGAGGGTAGGAATGGGTTCCTGCGTGTTTTATTTGTCCTTCTCTTATTCCAAGGTCTGGGGTTAGAGTACCAGAGTTGGTGAATTCTTTACTTTGTCTCCCATGAGTACGCAGATTCAGCATTGTCCTGACAATCAGACTAATCACCGAAAACATTACATGCCAGACGCCCTCCCAAGTAAGCCTTCTCCTGACATTTTCTCATTAAATGGGGGAATCATTAAACTGAGGTGTAAAGAGTTGAAGTGACTTGCCCAGGGTCCCGCTGTACTGCTGGAGTGTCACTGGTCCTCACCAGCCTGCCAGGATGCTTTCGTGAGTGGAAAATCAGGGAGTTTGGGCTGGCCGCTAAGGATCCAGATTCCCCGGTCACAGTTTAGCCCCAGGACTAAATGGCGGAGCTGGAATCTGAAAGGCCTGCTAATGGCTTTCCAGAGAAGGAGTTCATGCCATTTCTGGACCAAAGTATTTCAACCTCCTTTTAGCCCGGAGGGCTTCCGACGCTCACGACCTAGGTAGGGGAGGTGAGACAAAGGGTGTGCTGTAGGAGGCCGCCTGCTCTGTGAGGGCCGGAGGCAAGCCTTGGTTTGGTCAGCACTCCGCTTCCACCACCCACAGCAGGCCTTGTGTGCACAGGGGCGGACTGGCCGGAAGGAGAGACGGAGGGAGGGAGGAAGTTTGGGTGGATGGAAGGAAGGATGAATGGATGTTTAGATTGAAGGAAAGAATTGAAGAGGTGCATGGTAGGGGGAGATAGAGAGAGAAATTAGAACCAGAATGAGATAAAAGAAAGAGGAGACATAGAGTTTGCAGTTTTATATGAGGCATCCTTATTGCATTGTTCACAACTTCTTGCTGTTTCCCATATGTTCGTGCACACAGATGTCATTCATGTGTTTTTGTTTTTTTTTTAAAGATTTTATTTATTCATTTGCGAGAGACAGAGAGAGAACAAGCAGGGGGAGAGGCAGAGGGAGAGGGAGAAGCAGACTCCCCACCAAGCAGGGAGCCCGATGCGGGACTTGATCCCAGGACCCTGGGATCTCGACCTGAGCCGAAGGCAGACGCCCAACCATCTGAGCCACCCAGGCGCCCTCATATGTTTTATTTAATAGACATTTTTGACCACTAACCCAGATGCGGGGGATAAACAAATAAGACATGATCCTCCTCTCAGAGAGGAGTTTAAAATCTCAGGAAATTACCTAAGCCACTCTTGGTTGCCTAATCGTTACTAGAGGTCGTGGGAATCCTGATTCGCAAGTCCTCACCTGCATTGGATGTTCCTGGAGCAAAGGAAGTCGTCCACCGGTCAAGTCTCATCTCTGCGTATATACTCACAAGCCAGGAAGGTTTTATGGGATCTTTATTTTTCTTTGCCGAAGCAATGTGTTTAACTGTTTCCCACCTTTCTATAAAGCTTCTGAGTTTTTCATTGTTGTTCAGTGTATTGTTAGGCTCTCGCATGGAATGACTCTGATTTTCCTTTTTTACCCAGGATTGATCGTAAGATGTCAAGTGCTCACACCAACTACAAACTGGATGAGGCCCAGGCGATAATGAGTGAGCTCCGGACCATCAAGAAAGCCATTTGCACTGGCGAGAAGGAGAGGCGGGACCTGATGCAGGTAGGGGCCTGGCACTCTTCACATCCCGTGTCCGTTCGTCTGCCTGCCTGCGTGTCCATCTGTCTGTTGACATTTTAGGAAAATATGTGTTTACAGTATATATTATGTATTTGTTATGTATATGGTTCATATATATTTTAAAACATATGTCCCTGCCATATGTGTATATATTTCTGCATATGTGTATTAAAATATTTGAAAGTATGGGTGTTAGTTTCCTAGGGCTGCCATGACAAAGTACCACAACACAAGCGGGTAGAGAACAACTGAAATCGATTCTCTCAGAGTCTGGAGGCCAGGAGTTCACAGTCAAGGTGCTGGCAGGGCCACGCTCTCTCTGATGGCGCTAGGGGCGGACCCTTCCTCGCCTCTTCCAGCTTCTGGGAGCTGCTGCCGATCCTTGGCGTTCTTTGGCTCATAGATGCCCCGCTCTAATCTCTGCCATGTCGTCACATGGTGTTCTCCCTGGGTCTCTGTGTCTACATTTTCTCTTATAAGGATGCCAACCACTGGATTTGAACCCACTCTAATTCAGTATGACCTCACCTTAACTTGATTCTACCTGCAAGGACTCTCTTTCCAAATAAGCTCACATTCACCGATTCTTAGGACTTGAACAGATCATTGGGGAGGACACAGTTTAAGCCGTAACGACGGGTGATACAGATTGTTCAATAATCAAAACAACTTAAAAAGTCTATGATGAGAAGTCTTGCTACCACCCCATTCTGTCCTGTCCTGTAACTACTTTTATTAGCTTCTTGTATACCCTGCCAGCATTTTTGCAGACACAGGAGAGGGTGAGCACATGTTCAGCTGTCCCCACAGAAAGCTAGGGCTGTGCCTGCCGCTGTTCTGCCCCGGCTTCCTCACGGGACAATAACACCCCGTCCCTTTTTCTGGATCTGTGCACAAGCTGCTTCATTCCTTGATATGGCTGTGTGGATAGATTTTAGTTATATGGCTGGGATAGTTGGAGCTTTATACTGCTTTATTTTTTTGTCCCTTGAACTTCTGTAGATTTTCTTGTACTTAGAAAAAGCTTGAGTTTTTGCAGATGGATGCCCACTGGTCTTTCTGCCTGTTCCTGGGGTGCATTCAGATGTTTCTGTTACGGCTTTCATTTTTTGCTCAACACACTGAGTGCCTGGCAGGCATGTGTCTGGATTCTGCAGAATGTAAGGATAGAAGCACGTCTGAAGCAGAGCTCGGACTTGTGGGCCAGATGAGACAGGTGCACACTTGCACGGCAGCGGTCCCGAAGGTCAAGGATTCAGGAGACTTGTGGAGTGTCCCCACAGTGGTCATTCAGTTGCCCCTTACTGGGCCCTACCCCAGGCCTGCTAGATTAGGCTCTGGAGGTGTGACCCACCAACCTGTATTTTCAGATGCTCTCCCAGGTCATGAGAGGTACATGGTGGCAGGAACAGCTCCTGCCATTTCCTGGGGCCTCTGAGTGCAGCATTGGACGAGGTGCCATGTGGACGTGCCGCATCTAATCGAAGCCCCACCCCCAGGGGTGAACCACGTGGTATTCCATCATGGGGCCTTGGAGACCTTGCCCCAGGACGTTGCTAATTTCTCTGCCCCGGCCTTTCCCAGTGTGCCGAGCTGGGGCAAGCCACCCACTTGCCTCAAGTGGGTTCCCCACCACAGAGGTGGAGATGGAATTTCTCTAAGAAACTTCAGACCCCAGCATCCTCTCTGAGAAGCTCCAGAGAGAGGCCTGGGCAACATCCTCTCTAGCAAAATCAAAGAAGTTGTTCTGTCTGTCTTTTATGACCTTAACAATATTGGCCCATTCCAGCATGCCTTCGTCTGGATCCAGAGCCAACTACACGTGTCACGCTGCACCTGCGCGTTCTGGTGTCTGCAGAAATGTCTGCTGGAGAGAAGTACATTCAAAAGTCTTCTAAAAAATTGGAGAAAAATCTCATTTCTTTTTGGCCTCCACCTAAAGGAGTTACGTACACCAGAAGACATAGTTGCTCTAGTTTTTGGCAAACTAACATCTGTATGAGATGACTCTTGACCATGTAGAATTATGACTGAAAAATCAGGTTATAAAAATATGTAAACCTCATCTGGGAGTGGTTTTCCTTCTGTGTGGTTTATAAAAATCTCAAGGCACCATTCATCTCTGTCAGACTCATTTATTGATACAACATTTTGGATGGCAGTGCTCCACCCCATTTTATTGAGGTACAATTGACAGATAAAATTTTATAAATTTAAGGTGTACAGCCTGGTGATTTGATACACACATGAAAGGTGGAATGATTACCACGATAAAGTTAGTTAACACATCCATCACCTCACGTGGGTACCTTGTTTTTTGTGTGTGTGATGAAAACTTTTAAGATCTACTTTCTTAGCAGCTTTCAGATACGCAACACAATATTGCTAAGTATAGTGCTGTGCATTCCGGCCCCGCAACTTACTCATCTTATAACCCGAAGTCTGTGCCCTTTGACCCCTCAGCCCCTGGCGACTACCATACCACTCTGTTTCTCTGAGTTTGGCTTTTTTGGAGGGAATGCTTGTTTTTTTCTTTAGGAAACAGAAAGGTTTAAAAAAAAAACAGTAAAAATGGTACCACAGTTGTTCCCTACTATTATCTATTATTCTCATGCTGCCAGGAGGACTCCGTCACTGTCTGATTTAGATGACTATGCATTGGATTAAAGGTGCAGGTGGTGAGGGTCGTGTCTTTTACATCTCACGGGAATGGGGGGCAGGGCGGGCCAGCTCTCTGGTGCTGATGCGGCTGCCCTGGAGCCGATGACATGACTGCTTCTAAAGGGAAGAGAAGCATTACCGCCTCTGCCCAAGTAACTCGTTGCCTTCTATTGCAGAGCCTGGCCAAGCTGACCGATGGCTTCAAGAACAGCTTTTCTCTTAGCGACCCTCCGCAAGAGTTCCCTCACAATCCAGGTGTGCTTGGCGATTCTTTACCTCAACAGTTCTGCGATGCTGGGTCTCAGACTGACATCATTGGAGAGGTATGCCAAGAATGGGGAGTGGGGGGGGGGGGGGGGGGGCGGAGAGCCGAGTGTGCCCAGAGAGAAAAGAGCTGCTTTCGTGTTGCCATCGCTCATTTGTTTGACTTTGCCACTTTTTCTTCAGAAATGTTTTGGCTTTTGTGCCATTAAGTTTGAAGGAAAAATCCAGCTGTGAAGATTCCATGGCATGGAAGGCAATTGAATTGCTTAGTACCTCTCTCCTTGTGATTTGGATTCTTTAAAACAGCAGAATCCTTCTGAGAGTTGAGTTTAGATGTGTTCTTTTAATTTTTTTTTTTTAAGATTTATTTATTTTAGAGAGAGAGAGAAAGAGAGTGTGAGGAGGAGGGGAGGAGCAGAGGGAGATGAAGAAACTTAAGCAGACTCCACACTGAGCACGGAGCCTGACCTGGGGCTCGATCCCATGGCCCTGAGATCATGACCTGAGCCAAAATCAAGAGTCGGACGCTTAACTGACTGAGCCACCTGGGCACCCCTGTTTTGTTTTTTAAGTGATCTCTACACCCTCGGAAGGGCTTGAACTCACGATCAAGACTCACATGCTCCCCGACTGAGCCAGCCAGGCGCCCCAACATAGGACATTTTAGAGCAGGGATCAGCTAACTTTTTATGTAAAGGTCCAGATAGTAAATATTTTAGGCCTTTGCAGGCCATGCAGTCTCTGCTATAACCGCCTAACTGTGTTGTTACAGTGCAAAAGCCGCCATAGGCAATATGTGAACAAATGGACAGGACTGTGTTCCAATAAAACTTTATTTAACAGGATTGGATTTGGCCTGTGGGGGTCATAGTTTACTGATCTTTGACTTAGACCAGTGATTTTCAGAGGCTTTGTGTCTGTGTCACCCTTAGGTTATACTTTGATGCTATTTCTTACTCTAAAAGAATGTCAGGAAATTGAATTGAATCAAAATTAATTTTGCTTGGAACTTGGAAGAATTTCATAATGCCCCTTTTGATAATTACTGAAGCCTTGAGTTAGCTATAAAAACAAAGTTGGCAGTCATCATCTGAAGTAGGGTAGGGAATGCTTAAAGACACTACTGTTATAATGTTAATTGAGTGAAATTTATTACAAAAGGAAAACAAATGAAAAAAAGATGGCTTCTTTTTCTTAGGGCTTATGAAGTAAAGAGGAGACATCAATGGAATGTGGAATGTCCTCCCCAAAATTAAGTAGAGAAAAAGGAAAAAACCATTGACAAAAAACCCTGGGTTTTAAATAATTAGCTAATATTTTGAAATTTGGATAAATAGTATCTCTTTGAGTATAATATGGTAAATAATGACTCTTTTGGTCTTGGACGTTCTGAAACAGTCCTGTTTTCAGTTGTCACTCTCAAAGATACATTTAGACATTTTTGTTTGGTTTTTTACACTTAGACATTTTTGACCAGGCGATTTTGGTTTAAAGAATATGGTCCCCATCTATATAACACACAGAGAAGAATCTGTAAGTCAGAGATGTCTGCCATTTTTGCCTAAAGATTTTTGGCATGCAGGAAGGAAAGAAGTATAAGACTCATTGAATTCCATGAATAATTTATTGCTGTTATCATAGGTTAGAATTAGTATTAAGAGATTCAACTAGTTTGAGAGAAACAGGTAAGATCAAAGGTTCTCTAATGATCTAGGTAAGACTTTCTAAAGATGTCAGGTGTGGAGTGGTTGGTTATGCTGTTGCAGTAACTTGAGCCACAAATTGTCATGTTTGTGAGGTTACTGGGGCTGGCCTTGGGTTGACAGCTTCATGGCTGTTATCTTGTTAGTTGTTTCCATATCTGTTTGATAGGTGAGGGGTTCGAGGTGCCAAGTCACCTGAGGTCATGTAGCCAGGGAGAGGCAGGTCTGCCTGGGTTTGAATCAACATCTCTGATGCCTAAACCCCTGTGCTTTCTACTACCTCATGCAGTTGTTAAAAAAAAAAAAAAACATATTGAAGGGCTGAACTGGATTAGTTGGCTATTGCTGCATAAGAAATTACTCCAAAACCTAGCATCTTAAAACAGCACACTTTTATTATCTCAGACTTATACTGTATGTAGCTCAGGAGTCTGGCAGGGCCTTCTGCTTCAGGGGCTCTCCTGAAACTGCAAGCAAGGTGTCACCCAGGGCTGCAGTCTTGTCTGAGGACTCGACTGGGGAAGGGGCCACTCTGAAGCTCACATGACTGTTGGCAGGATTCACTTCCTCATAGGTTGTTGGACTCAGGGCTCTGTCTCATTACCATACAGACCTCTCCAGCACAGTAGCTTGCTTCATCGAAGCGTGCAGACTGAGAGAGTCTGCTAGCAAGATGGAAGTCACCGTCTTTTGTAACGTAATCACAGAAATGGCTTCCCATCATCTTTGTTGTATTCTACTGGTTACGGCCAAATCATGGCTCTAGAGCACTCTCAAGGGGATTTCACCTGGGCTGAATCCCAAGAGGTGGAGACCAATGGGGACCATCTTAGACATCTGCACACCTGACTTAGTTATCACTTACGTGCTCTAAGGGCTACATAAGAACTGTGCAACAGGAACCTGTTGAATCCATTGGGCCGTAGATTTCTCCTTTTTCGATTAAGATGTCCATTTTGTTCTCAAAGAAGAGTGCAAAAACAGAGCTTAGGGATCTGTAGACAGCATCGGGAAAAGGTTTTAGGAAAGGACATTTGTTTGTCTTGATGAGGGGTCAGCTGCAGGCGTCTCTAACAAACAAGATGATGAGGTGACAAATAGCTCATTCCCAGTGTAGACAGTTTCTGGAGATGTGATGCTATAGCCTTAATGTATTTATATTGAGGAAACCGTGGAGAGGGGCTTTGGATGAGGCTATTAAAATGCCCACAATGGTGACACGCCTCATCAGAGAATGCTCGCTCCGTCCCTCATTCAAAGCAATAGAGATACAAAGAAATTCCTATTGACATATATCAAAACTGGTATCAATAAATTCAGCTCTAATCATTCAAATAGAGTATTTTCAAATGTTTGTTGACATGAGGTTATTTAAAAAAAAAGAAGACTTAGTGGCTATAACATAGGGTCTAGTTAAGGTCAGATCTACAGAGACAATTGATTTAATGAACTAATGTCGTATATTTCCGGGAATAAAGGAAGAAGTAACCAAGGTGAGCTACAGTTACCTCCCATACAGGTCTTTTTTTTGGTTTTGTTTAGGAATTTGTTTAGTTCAGCGTAATTGGTATGAAAACATTTAAGTACAGCTAGTGATCACATGGGAGCGCCACATTTCAATTCTAACTCCTAGGGTGATGGGCCGCCTTCAGGCTTTTCCACACCTTGCTTTCTTTCCTTTAGACCTTTAGTTCTTTAACATGCTGCAAAACATTCGAAGGAGGCCTGTAGCCCATCCCTCACAGAGCTAGTCCATCTTCTTCAGATCTTGCGACTTCTTAAGAGAACATCATTCTTCTGCATTCACTGAAGAATGAGAGAACATACTGTACAAAATGGGATGAATATTTTTGCCTTTGTGTCAGCTTTTACTAAATAATTCCCTATGTTTTTAAAATTTAATTTGCTGCTGTTGTTGTTGTTGTTAGGAATTACACAACAGATGAATACACTTCCACTGTTAAACAAATCCACCAGTGCTTGGGAGGCAGTCTTCCCAGCCCCACCTGCAGCTTCCACCGGTCAGAGGTGGCGGCCGAGCACTGTTTGGTGTATTTCCTTCCAGACCCTTGAGAAATGGAAATTTAAAGACAAATTAAAATACTCTTCATTGTCGCCGAAAGTTGAAATGAATTTTCTATTTTGAAAATATGTGTTTAATATGTTTCCCCCCTTTTTTTTCCTTCTGTTCCGGAAAGTTTGTCTTTGATGATAAAACAAGACTTGTAGACCGAGTCAGGCTTAATTGGCAGTATGAGGAAGCCAGAAAGAGGTAAGAAGCTCCTTTCTCAAATCTTGCCTTCTGCTTCCTTCCTTTCTTCCATGGAAAGAGGTTTTGTGGCGCTCCAGTGTGGGACTGTCCACTTTTCATCAGAAAGTGGTGTCTGCTAGAATACAAAATCCACGATCTTCCTTTCTGGGTAAGCCTCTTAATGCCCATGGTAGAATTTCATGTGCATTTAAGATGTGAATGTCTCACTGTTGTGACCAGTTCTAAAGCCCTGAGCTAATAAAGACAAAGACTTTCCCGGCTTCCTTCTCCTCTCAGATACAGATAGCTCAGGACTCCCGCCCACCCCGCCTCCCGACCAGCAGTAGCCCCTCAGACCTGCTTCAACACAATTGCCTTATCTCTTACATGTGTCGTTTCTAACTCCAGAGGTTAATGGAAATAGTCACATATCTTGGCTTAAAAGACAGTTTAACAAGGACTAGGTCAACAGGTGCTGGCGGTACCTCATCCGCTGGATTTCGGTGGAGAGACGCGCAGCACAGCCTTTTCTGTGGACCTTTGCCGTAAATCATCTGCCCTCGGAAAATCAAGACTTGACCCTGTCTGTACCTGTTCAGGATTTGTCTTTCTGTCGCCCTCTCCCAGCCCTAAGCATCGGACAGGGCAGAATTGAGAGGCAGTGCAGTATTTTTAGCAGGTCACGTCCCTCCCCACGTTTGTAGGACCCTGGTTTCAGGATCCTGACCCTGCCCTAGCTTCCGTGTCCCCTTTCTGGAGACTCTCTCTCTTTTGTGTCTTCTGAAGAGAGCCTTAAAACCAAATTATTTCCAGATACGTGCTTGAGAAAGCTATGAAGCGTATTTTTAAAAAAGTTTCTTTAGTCACATACGAACTATTTTCTTGGAGGGTGGGGGAGAAGGAGGGGAATGCCAGGTGGGGTAAGGGGGTCCTTTCTGGAAGCACAAGAGTTGGGTCTGCTCCATATCCTCTATCATGCATGACGTCTGGAAATCCATTTTGTCGCCTTTTTAGAAAATGTAAAAATAGCAACAAAAGCGGATCCTATGACTCCCTGCTAGAGGGCCGACATGAGCTGACATGGGCTTTCTGCCCGCTTCTCCCTGGCTTCGCAGCACGTATCTGTGGTGGGCTTTACGCTTCCACACCGACCGCCGCCAAGTGCCTTGAGCCGTGCTGCTTGTCTCTGCGGTCATACTCTCCGCCCGTCGTGCGTTCCTCCTCCTGAGCTCGCTGCTGTTGGTCAGGGGCCGTTGGCCCCTTTGAATATTCCTCTGCTCATTCTCGCATGTTTCTCCTGGACCGCACAGTGTGGGTGCTGGAATTTGCTGTGCTGTAGTAAAATGCAGAAAATAGATGGTTGTTGCACTTAGGGACATAATTGTTACATGTTTTGCTGCGACATTTACTAAACATAGCAAGTGATTTCTTTGTTTTCTAGAGATGGTATTGGTACACAGTGAGTAACCTTTTAAATGTTGAGATAAGACATTTGGGCGAAAAGGCAAAAGGCAAGTATTTAAGAAAATTTTTCAGGGGAGGACACTGCATTTCATCGGCATCTTTTATTATTTATTTATTTATTTATTTATTTAAGATTTTATTTATTTATTCATGAGAGACAGAGAAGCAGAGGGAGAAGCCGGCTCCCTGCTGAGCAGGGAGCCCGATGCGGGACTCGATCCCTGGACCCTGGGATCATGACCTGAGCTGAAGGCAGACACTTAACCATCTGAGCCACCCAGGCGCCCTCATCGGCATCTTTTAAATGACAGTACTATTTCAAGATTGCCGGGACCTTGTCAGGAGACACACTGCAGCTACATGGGGCAGGGTGGGGGTGGGGGAGCCCCGCCCCCAGTGCTTCAGCCTTTGTGGGCCAGAAACGCCGTTCTGGGCTGCATCAGCCACATTTAAGTATCAGGGACACGTTGTGGAGATGGCCCGGATCGGCTTGCACAAGCACGGCCTGTCCTTTTCCCACTAGCACAGTGGTTCCCAGTAGGCGGAGTTGGGGAGTGGGGACTTTACCACCCCCAGGGAACTTCTGGCCATGTCTGGAGGCAGGTTTGGTTGTCACGACTCTGGGGGACCTGCTACGGCCGCTGCTCAACATCCTATGGCGCATAGGCCGGCCCCACCCAGAGAGTGACTCCCCCATATGCCACCAGTGCCGAGGCCGAGAACCCTTGCTCTGGCTGGAGGACTGTGGTGTCTTAGCGGGGCCATCCCTGCGGGATTTCCTGCCGGCCGGTCTGCATGGGTGACCCCAGGGGTGTCATCTGCACCCCACCCCAGCTTCTGCAGGGGGCAGAAGCTGCTGGGAGAATGGGACATTGTACTTCTTTCTACGCAATACCTGCCCTGTTCTGGACATTTCAAAAAAACTGTGTGGGTTATGCGATGCGATCACATATGGTCTTTAACCTATTTGGGATATAAATTCCTCCCCAACTAACAGAAATATGTCGGTTTATCAGGGGCTCTGCCTGAGGGTGAGGACCTCTCCCTACCCCACCTGGGCAGTACCTGCTGGGGTTGTGTGCGTGTGTATGTGCACACACATATAGCATGTGCATGTTTACAGACGTGCGTGCGTGCATGCACACTTGTATTTTCCCCTTTGTTTTTATTACAAAAATAATACACGAATACATTGTTTTTGTCACAGGCACAATCAGTAGAGACCACCCACTTTCCCCTTCTCTGATCCCACTTCCTGTCATTCATGGTTTGGCGTGACACCTTCCAGGCTTTTATCTAAACATTTAAATAAAGTAAGCCCAGTATAGTTAAATGTAGTATGTGATGCATAGCTTAGGATGCATAAGCATCCCTCTGTGGATAGACATCTTAGATGATTGCAGTTTTTCCTTTTCACAAACAGTGCACATCTTTTCCTAGGCCCCAGCCTTGCAGAAATGACTATTTCCTTGGACTAATACTTAGCAATGAAATGTACAGATCTTAACACACATACACTGAAAGGTTTTATAGGGGCGTCTGGGTGGCTCAGTCGGTTGAGCATCTGACTCTTGATCTTAACTCAGGTCTTTATCTCAGGGTCCTGAGTTTGAGCCCCGCATGAAGCCTACTTTAAAAAAAAAAAAAAGTTTTGATAGATACCCCCACATTGCCTTCCAGAATGACTTAGCCACCTTGCGCTGCCACCAGCGCCGATGGAGAGTCCTGATTTTCACATCTGCTGAGCATCATTAAACATCTTCATTTTTTGGTCAATTTTACTAGAGTAACGGGCAAAGACCTTCTGTCAGTTGTCATGTGCTTCTCCCTGGTGTGAATGGTACATTTCCTGGTGCTGTTCAACATACTTTTATGTGACTTTTGGTTCTTTTAGTTGCTGTGTCTGAATTTTTTTTTCCAGACAAGTGATCCTTTCAGAAAATGTTAGATGCTATCATTCCCCTGTTCCACATGGCTCTCAAACCTTGAAGGAGGCCACTTTTGCTCCCTAGGGAACAGTTCTGGTCCTCCTGACTAGGGCGGAGCCCAGGGATGCTGCTGACCAGCCCACGATGCACAGCATGGCCCCACAGCAAAGACTTCGGTGGCCCAGAGCGTCAGCAGTGCCTCAGCTGAGAAACCTTACTCTTGGCCTTCTTATTTCGCTTCTAAATCCCTACTGTGTTTGGACAAGGACCCACAGGAGCCGGTTTTCCACTAAGGGCATTAGCCCACTCCCCCGTGTCTACCCTTGCCCTGTTCCAGACAGGTTGACCCCTCAGTGTTCCTCAAACACGCCGGGTCTCAAACCTGCCAGGCACACTCCTGACTTAGTCCCTGGAGTCAGCAGAATAATCGCCCCCTCAAGATGTTCACGTCCTAATGCCCAGAACCTGGTGGCTGTGTTGCCTTCCGTGGCAGAAGAAACTTTGCTGATGGGATTAAGTTAAGGACCTTGAGATGGGGCAGTGATTCTGGATGATCCAAGGGGGCTCAGTGTCATCATTCGGGTCCTTAGAAAGGGACAGTCTGGGAAGGGGATGTGAGGAGGGAGGCAGAGATTAGAGCGGTGTGGGCCACGAGCTGCGGCCTGTGGACAGCCCCTAGAAATGACAGTGCAGTGGATTCTTCCCTAGAGCCTCCAGAAGGATCACAGCCCTGCCCACCCATTTTTGACTTTTGACTTCTGGAACTATAAGATAATAATGTGTGCTGTTTTGGGGCGCCTGGGTGGCTCAGTCGTTAAGCGTCTGCCTTCGGCTCAGGTCATGGTCCCCCCATGGCCTTTGCCGTTTCCTCTGCCAACAATGGAATGCTTTGCCTCAAATTGTCAGATGGCTTCTGCTCTCCTCTTGGTCACCTTGTCAGAGACGCTTCCCTGATCATCCAGAATAAAGTAGCATGCCCCATTCCCGCCCCCATCACCCCAATCCTCCCAGCAAATGTAACCACCTAACCCAGTCTCTATATACGTGTTTGCTTTTTTATCATTTGTTTCTCCCTCCGAGAACGTAAACCCCACAAGGGCAGGGATTTAGGTCCGTTTAGGTCATTGCTGTAATTCCAGGAGCTAAATACCCACTGAATATCTATTGAATGAGTAAATGAGGGCCCCATTTGGTCACACTTGCTGTTTGGCACTTGCTTCTGCCAGTGGGCAAGCAGAAGGAGTCCTCGGGGCCCAGGTCCTGGCTCTCCTCCTGGCTCCCTTCCCCAAGGCCCGCTGTGGGCCTTGGGATATTGCCCCTTGACCTGAGGACAGAAAAGGCAACAAGATATGCATGTCTTTAGGGTTCTAACAGAGGCAGGGCATGGTCTCTTCATTTCAAGAACTGTGTTCGCATGATACATAATCATACCACGCTCAGCTTACAGTTCTTGGGCCTTCATGGACATTTGAAAAGGCTCATGATCTTGAATCTTTCTATAATGAATTCTCTTCTTGGATGCTGGAGAAAACGGCTGCCATTTTGGATCTGCACCCTGAAGGATGCTGGGATTACGGCTGCCCGTGCATTTGGGAAGGGCTTTCTCAGCCAAGAGGGGAGCAGGGATCA